GTGGTAATGTTCAAAGTATTTTTAGTCATTAATACAAGTATCCCCGTGCCATTAAAAAATTGAAAATCAATTCTTGCAAGAGAAATACAATTCCTATCCTGATTTTGAACCTGACATACACGCATTTTCTTCACACTGGAGAAAATTTGAGGTATTGATTCTTCTAGATAAGTAACGTAGACTAGAGAGAGACAACCATAACATGAAAAGGTATGCCTATACCTCATTAGCCTCAAAATACTTCCAGTCTTTTTTTCTATTGCAACTTTCATAGCAATCCTGAATGAACAAAACATTTGATTCTTCCTTACTCGCTGGATACCAACCCACTGCAATATTGATATGTTGGAGAACCAGAGTTGACTTCTGGTATATATTCTCAACTGGTTACCCAACAGTTGCTAAGACGACTTTTTCCCTCCCTCCTTAACTCTGTATTACTATTCATATTTTCAGTAGGACCACCTTGGGTCTTAACAGTTGACAAAATTTCTGTAATCATAGTAAAAAGCATGGCTATTTGTTTATGCAGAGGAGGACCACTTTTTGCTTTACAAGACACTGAAATAATCTAGAAGTCACGATGGTTTTAAAGTATTTTATAAAGCAAAAACTCATTATGGTTTGCTAGTGACAATTTCTCCCCCAAATTTCCACATACATGTTCCTCGGGCCGGACTGGGAGCCCTTGTAGTAGTACAGCTCCTCAGCCTCAGCCTACTGTGAAAGTCACGCGAGTCCCTATGAACTAAATTACCACTCAGCATGAGTAATTTTATCAAAATCTGGTGTCTTACAGGTGCGGTAAATTCCTCTGTACTGTAGCATTTTCATTTATTAGTATTTCGTTGACTACGTAAGCACATCTAGCCTTCAGTAGTTCATCCACTTTGCAAATTGATTTTAATAGAACTGTCAGGCTAGATTTTGTCTGACTGATAAATAACCAATGTTCAAATGGGAAAGGATCAAAGTGCATCAATTTGATTAATTCTCCTATTTGTTTCATGAGATACATGCTTCAAAAAAAAAAAAAAAAAAAGACTTTAAACCTCACTGACACTTTTTAGAGCTAGTAACAAGAACATAGTCTCATGTCTATAGTGCAATGTTTTTTTCCAGAAAGGCGAGCAGAGCTGCTGCCATTTTCTTCAAGCAGCTATATCCCCTTCTACAAGCAAAGAGGTGAAGTTAACTCTGCTGAGGACTAAAGAGATTACATGCCTTCCTGTTACAAGTCATTGTCCTCCAGGAGAAAGATAGCTCCCGTCATGACAATGCTAAGGAAATGTAGTTTTAATAGGTACATTATTTTACTGAGAATCTCAGGAGATGTTTCAGCAAGGCTGCCGATCAAAGATGTAATTAATTTTTAGCCTTTGAGGTTGCTGGAAGTGGGCTGCCTCTCACCGTAGCTTTGGCTTGATTTCTCCAGCAACTACCTTCTGTAAAGCAGGACTGTCTGCTCCGGAGGAGACTGTGCTCTTTCCAAATTGTCGGCTCTCCAAAGAGACATCCAAATCCCTGTCTTTATGGACATAAATCTTCAAAGGACACACATATGTCTTTATAAATAAAACTTACTCCAAAAGCAGTAATGGATTTTTTTTAAAAAATAAATTAGTATTATGGAGTGTATTTTTGCATCTCAGGAACAATCTTTCATAACAGAAGCAACAGTAAGTAAAAAACATGATTCATAATGTTCACAGCCTTTCATATTTTAGGTCCCATACAGACTATATTTTTAGTTGCAGTATTAACCACACTGGAAAGCCCTTTCAGTTTAAAGGTTTAAAGCCACGTGCTTATCGTGACAGCCTGGCAGCTGTCATATGGAAATTCCCATGGGACACACACACAAAAAAATGCATGTCCTTTTGTAAAAGCCCCTGTTGCTTTGCAGGGAATGGAAGCGACAGGAGCTTCTCTAGGAGGGCCAACAAGTTTGCCTCCTTGCTTATCATCAAATATCTTCTGGAGATAAGCAAGAAGGCTGAAAGTCAGCACGTCTTATTCAGAAATTTAGCTTTTTCCAATGTCTACCTATTTCAGATTTCAATGTTTATCAGCAATGCAGTTTTTAGATCACAGATGAGCGCACTGATTTCCTGCTCGCCTTACTTCACGCATTCTAATATTCATGTGTTGACTTAACCACCTTTTCCATTTCACTGTTCTCCATAATATTTTGGCAGAAAAAAACACTGATCTCCAGTATCAGAGGGAATATTTTAAAGATTAAATTTAGTGAGTCCTGCAAAAATAGCACATTTTCTGTTTAAAGGGAAACATCACACATTGCACCCCTCCAGATAAAACAGAATCAGATTCAACAACTTCAACACCGCGGGAAAGGCAAACTTGACAACGTGCAACACAAGAATCCGAAGATTTGATTCAGTACAAGCCTGAGACATTATACCAGTTCAAAAGGTCCCTGAACAACACAGCACCAAAACTTTCATTATTCTAGCAGGTGGCTTATTATCATTCTTACAGACTGATAATTTTCCTTATTATCCCCTTGACTGCACATATAACACAGCAATATGAGCCTAATAATGCCTATAAACATTTCCATTAACAACAGAGCTTGCTATTTTAGCCCACAGAATGTGGTACCAGACCAGTGTAATTGATTTTTTTTAATTGATGTATTGTGCTACTGTACACGGCTGCTCAATTTTGACAACAACAATGAAACCAAACAAAGTGCTACAGGGCTTTAACCCATAACTTTATAGCATATTTATCGAGACGTTAATCCACTCAAGTTTCTTTATCTGTCCCAGTGACAGTAGAACTCCACAACAGGAAATACGCTCAAAAATAGATTATTATAAAAGAATTCAATCACAACTTATTTCAGTCTAAGCATATACAAGCTCTGCAGTTTGATGCATACATAATCCACTGAGGTAGGAAATGAACATAAGGATTTAAAAAGGTGCCGAGTTACTCAAAACTCCTATAAGCTGCAATTTTGTTTCATCTTCTGTCTTACTAGACTCACAGTTGTATTCCTCAGAAGACACAGAAAGGATCTCTATATTAATAAACTTATTACCACCTTCCCAGAGAAACTGCTGCCCTCTCTGAGATGCACAGAGGGAGCCTGCAAATCTGTCCCTAACTCTCCTGCGCTTAATAAATGCTCAGGGTCAGTATGAAAAAAAGAATTCCTGCAAGTTACACAGGTACTAGCCACAGTCAGCTTTTGCACGGCCATGCACAGACACAGCTGGGGACCCAGGTCGCTCTGTCACACAGCATTTGTGAATGGTCCTTCATCCCACTTTATTTCAAGAGCAGAAGTGTGGATTTTTCCTTCCCCCCCCCCCGCCCCTTGACTTAAAGACTGAGTTTTGCTTCTGCTACGAAGGGGAAAAAAAAAAAAAAAACACAACAAAATCCTGGCCAGATTTTCCCTGGGGAATAGCAAGTGTTTTGGTCTGACTGCACGACAAGCCAAAAGCATGGAGGCTGGGAGCTAGCAGAACTGTGGCACGTGATTTCAAAGAGGTTCACAGGTGGGTGTGGGACGAGCTGCTCTTGCCAAGGGGACTGCCTGCTGCCAATGCCACCATTTAACACCTCCCAAAAAATTAGGGGGGTAGCAGAGGCAAACAAATAATTCTTACCATACCAGTGCAATCTTTGTATTTAGAAACAGATTAAATAATACTAATGAACAGCAAGAGCTTTAGGACATCCCTGTGTCAAAACACACTGTAGTTTGGAAAGCCCGCTTTTTATTCTACATGAAATACAGTGATAAATACACAGGTGATTTTCTACTGTAAAACAGACTTACTGCGATTCCCTTCTCTTTTATTTACTCCTCTACTTACCAATAAATATAGCAAAACCTACACAACTTTCTGTGTCATTAGACAACAGCTTTAGGAACAACTCCAGACTGTCTCCAAAAGAACCAAATGTAATTCTGCCCTATTCGCGTTACAGACTCTCTTTACTGAACCAACTTTTGGAGTTCGTTCACACAAATCTCACTTGCAGCAAAGCTTACGGCTTTGTACAATTTTGCTGAAAGTAAAATTAATAGTCTACTACATTTAAGAAGTTTAGCAATTAAATATTGATATCATCACCTCCTATTCTTTTCCTCTTAATCCTCAAATTGACAAAGTAAGCACCAAACACTAAAAATATTTTATACTTGAAAAACTGGGACTCAGTAACCAAAGATACATTTTGAGATTTTCTGTAAAGACACACTTTTCACAACTAACCGATACATGCCTGGGTCACTTGGCTCAGTTAAGAACTGTAGTCTGTTACCGAGTCAGACTGTGAAACTATGTACAAAAGAGGATGAAGCCATCATCAATGGTGGGACTTGAAAAGACCAACCCCACAGAAGTGGTTCTATGCCTTTTCCCAGCAATAGGAGCTGAACGAGATTGGCACTGATTACGTTTCAGAAGCCCTCTTTTTATTCAGTATCATCAGAGCTCTGGAGTAAGGTTCCTTTTTTTTAAATCATCCCTGAACAAAAAAAAACACACAACCACAAACCAAAAAATCCCAACCAAAAAAAATCCACTCCAAAACAAAAAACAATGCAAAAATTGTTACAAGATGTGGAGATGATTTTTCGTTCTCCTTGCTCCCAATATTCAGTACTCAGACAATTATTTGAATGTATATGGTTCTCTAGCATGGCTTGTGAACTAGAAAAAATGTGAAATATAAAACAAACGCATTCTCAGGACAACTAAGTTTGTAAAAAGCAAACGTTCATACAATATCAACATAACATGAAACGTTAGAAATCTACCATAATTCATTCCCTTTCCAAAAATACTTCACACCCTTCTTCCCAGTGATTGTGCTAAATGATGCCTGCTAGGCTAAAAAAAGAAAAACGAAAAACGCAGGGAAGTCAAGCAAGCCCACTCCACATTTCCTCTAGAGCTTTTTGTTACTAAGCAGTTTTCAAGACCATATGGAAATATGAATTCAGCCAAAATTACCTTAATAACCAAGTCAAACTTCTGGTGTAAATCCCTATTTATTGGCTTTAGGAGTGTCAGTACAGCTGTTGTGAGGTTCATATGGAAATACTGTGGATAATCCTCAGGAGTACCTGTAAAAGAGACATTGAGGTTTGAACAAATGCTGCTTCTGAAAGATTTAGTTACACAATATATTTATTTACTTATTAGTGAAAAGGAACAAAATCTAATCCTGCTATTGTAAGGATAAAATACTGCATCATGTGTACATGGGGTTTAAGGACACGACTAACACTATGCATTTAATATTATCATTATTTCCTTACTCTCCCTAACCATGAAGATTCTTCTGAACCGGGAATCCCCAAGTACTTGAAAACAACAAGAGCCCAAACACCCCTGCAGCTGGCAGAAATTCTGCTTCTCAGCTTACAGGAGATCTGTATGAATCTAATCAGGTAAGAGGACATATGGAGAAATGAGCTTCCACTGCAAATCACCCTCCACTTCTATCCACCCCATTCCTGCAACCCAACTTGCTGAACACGTACCACTGAGATTTTCTCTCTCCAGCTTTGAAGGACATCTCCCCTGAGGTATCACTGGACACGCGCTGACATGAGTCACAAAACAAAGAACTCTACGAACCATTTTTTGAGTGCACATATTTAAACAAAGAAAATACACAACGAGGTGATGTGACAAGGCTGTTACCACTAAGTTCAAGACAGCCATGTTATTGCTTACAGGTGATACCCTGACATTCGCAATTTAAAATGCACATTTTAAATACCTTAGGTCTTGCAGCCCTCTGTTGCACCTATGGGCAAGCTCTTTGATGCATTATTAACACATATACGCAAGTAATAACAACAGATACGTTATTTCAGAAATCCTTCTTCTATAGAAAAGAAGTTTCTCATCAGGGAGGAAGCACCAGATGAAACCTCATCTAACAGTTTCCATTTACTGTCAGCAGTAAATAGCCTCTTCATGGCTGTGAATTTCCAGGATAATCTCCAACCCAAATAAAACAGAGGCAAATCAGAGCCTGAACAGATTTGCAAACTCATGGAGGTTCAGCAAGGGCTATGCAAAGGATGGAGACAGCCACGACCTTGCTGTGCCTGGCCCCTAGGCTGCCCAGCAAGGCAGCTGCAGCCCCAGAACGTTCCCGTGGTACTGCGCTCCAGCCAAAAGGCTCTGGCAGCATAGCCTGACACAGGAGGAGGTAAGAATCATGCTGCAGTGATTTTGAGCCACATCATTCTCAAAGAAACTATGCAAAAAAGTAGCAAGAGCGGAGCATTAATTGCCAGGGCAGGATGAAGCAATAAGCATACAGGATACTGTTCAGAAACAGTCTCTTACCTATCAGGGAAGAGAGGCTATAACTTTTTTTTTTTAAAAGACAAAGGGATGTTCTCTCCTTGTCTGCGTGGCAGAAAACTGTGTCCGCCTTCTCCAGTCTCTGTGTCTCATCCTAGCCTGTCTCGGTTTAACCATCTGAGTTTCCCTGAGCCAGCCTGACCAGCAGCTGGAGAGATGTAAGAGTACAAATCTGAACAGAGCAGGGCTCAGAAAGCCAAAATGTTAAGAAACAGCATGAACTCTGGCATCTCGCAGCTTATCAGTTTTAATAAAAGTATCCGAAGACACCAAAATACTGATGACAAGTCTAAGATCTCGAGTCATTTTAGGTCTAGGAGTGTAGCAGCTAAGAGACAGAAAGCACTCCTGGCTGATAGTATAAATGCCCCAGTAAGTCTCTGAGCCCATAAGTTACGGTATCTTAAAGCAGCCATGAGAGCAGGACAAATATCACCGTGCCAAATCCTCAATCCAGTCCAACAGGGCATAAGATTCAACACCAAAAAAAAAGACCACTTTTCTGATAAATGATGCTGTTATTTATTCACCTTTCAAGTGGAATTATTAGAAACTGCTTTTAGAAAGCCAGTAGCTATCCCAGGAGACAGATTACTGTCCAAACTCATGCACAATAATTTAATTTGCAACTTATCACATGACAACCATTTGCTAGATATATAGTGTGTACCTATTCCGTGACTATCTCTGTATACATGTATGCCATAGACCCGGAGAGTAGTTAACAGGAAGAACCACTATGGATCATTTTTTCTATTACAGCGCCAACATAAACGCAGAGTTTCTAGCTCTAGTCCTGTGTCCCCCCGCCTTGCCTTTTAATTTCAGGTCCTAATTAACTGATCTAATTTTTTAAGAGCACTAGGCATCCATCAGGACCTCCAAGTTTTTGGCAGATAACAGATTGCTGTAGCCTTAGGAGGCTGTACATCACAAGGGCTGGTGCTGAAGCTAAGAAAAATTAAGAGATTAAGGAAGGACCAAATGCAAAAGCACTGCAAAAGTAGAAAACAGGAGGTTCCCTGAAAGGGAACAAATACATAGGGGAGGAGAGAGACGGCTGTAAGAGGCACAAAGTGATCTACTACAGGGAACATGAAGCTAGTATTGTCTAAGGATGCCAAGAAAGAATGCAAGGGGAAAAAAAAAACTGAAACCAGATACAGAAGGAAAAGACAGCAAGGAGGATGCTCAGGAAAGTAAAAATTAGAGTATAATAGAGCTGGATTGCCTGAATTCCAAATGATGATGCCTGCTCTGCTGCTGCCTACCACACGAAGGGTCCAAACTCCAAACCTTAAATTCTGAAAGCTAAGTTTCCCAGGAACAGAAATATCTGCTTCTGCATTCGTAAAAATATTTGTATTTTGACAGAGCAGAGCAACCCTCAGTTCACATTGTTGCCTGATCTGCTTCCACAAATGAGGAATTTCCTACTGCAACTGTAACTATGTGCCTTCAAAACGTGTCACCTGCATATTACGGACAAGCATTACCGGCTGGAGAAGTGTTCACACCACCCCAACAATGCCAGTCTCTCACGAGTCCTACCTGCAAGAAGATGTAACCCAGGAAAAGCAGAGAGGTCTAAAGCTCTATGGACGAGCTCTGAGTCTCCTGCCTCCAGAAATTCACCTGGTCTGCGTGTTTGGAGAGGTCTAGGGTATTAAAATGTGGTGGGGCAGCACGCACCGGTGGATCTGTAAGGACCCTTGAGAAAGGAGGTCAGCACATGAAGGGTGGCACATGGTTTCTTTTCTGTACTTCAGCACATGGAAACGAGCCTGCACCAAAAATGTGCACTGAGTGCTCAACAGACCTCTGGTTACGCTCTTCTGGCCCACGCAACAGAAGCAGCAAGCTGACCAGTCCAGGAGGGAACATGATCTCTTCTACCTTGACGATCTGTGCTGGTTTTGGCTGGGATAGAGTTGATTTCCTTCCTAGTCGCTGGTACGGGGCTGTGTTTTGGATTTGTGCTGCAAACAGCGTTGACAACCCAGGGATGATTTAGTTATCGCTGAGCAGGGCTTACCCAGAGCCAAGGCCTTCTCTGCCTCTCACCCCACCCCACCCACGAGGAGGCTGGGGGGGGCACAAGGAGTTGGGAGGGGATACAGCCGGGACAGCTGACCCCAACTGACAAAAGGGAGTGATGGCGTTTGTCTTCCCAAGTCACCGTTAGGCGGGATGGAGCCCGGCTTTCCTGGAGATGGCTGAGCCTCTGCCTGCCCATGGGAAGCAGTGAACGAATTCCTTGGTTTGCTTTGCTTGCGCACGAGGCTTTTGCTTTCCCTATTAAACTGTCTTCATCTCAACCCAGGAGTTTTCTCCTTTTTACCCTTCCAATCCTCTCTGCCATTCCACCGGGCGGGGGGAGCGAGCGAGCGGCTGGGTGGGGCCGAGTTGCCGGCTGGGGTTAAACCACAGCATGATCTTACAGCAGAGGGGAATGTCTACAAGGTGAAGAGTGCTCGGAGGTTTGCTTTGCGTGGTGCCAGAGGAAGGTTTTCGCACGGCATGTTGCCTGCCAGGCAAATGCATCAGGGAGCTCACAGGACTGGAAAGAACCCCCTAGAAATGTTGTTGTGGGTTTCTTTTGGGTCTTCATTTAAATATCCACCGAACAGAGCACTTAGCTGTCCAAAACTGGGAGCAGAAATCACAGAGACAGTTCCAGGGTCAAAACCAGAAGCTGATGATTTAAAGGAAACATTGACTTTTCCCAAGGAGCAGCCCCAGCAAAAAGAAAGCCTTAAAATTACTAGTAAAAATAGCTAAGGGAAAACCTTTAAACAGGGCTGAGCAGCAAATAGAAGAGTAGCACAGGGCTGCGATACAGTTAGCACTAAAGAAAAAAATAGAGAGACACTGCAGATGAGAGAAGGTGAGTTGGTTTGAACCCCCTTTTTAATGCACACACACTATACACAAAGGGAAGGGGCTTGCTTACACACTTGCTTACACCAGACACTATATGTAGGTCTATTGCAACGATCCAAATACATTAACATTCCTGAAAGTCAAGGATTGGAAAAATTAGCGCATGAAAAAATTTCCAAATATCAAGTTTCCAAATGTAAAGATATTGGGCACTTTATAAGAAATGAAATATTACAGTATGGCCCCAGTTCAATCCTCTTCTCTGAAGCACTTTACTGTACTTCAGAAGGTAGCTCTTTCATCATGTACTTTAGCCAATACTTTAAATAGAAGACAACAATCCCAGCAGTATTATGCTGTAACCGGTTCTCTAATCTTAGGATGACCCTCAAGAATACTTAAGACCTAATCTTCTACCATTTTATCAGTATCAGTCCATAACTACTTGAACAATGCATTCAGACATCTTGATATATCCTTTGAGAGGATTGCACTCAGGGGTCAGAATGAAAAAGCAAGCAGAAAATAACGGACTAGTAACACACTTGGGCTATTTCTTCATTTCTCAAGTGCCTTACCCTCAAGTTACGTTTGTCTGCAGCAGTGCTATGCTCACATGAATGTGTAACAAGACTTCCACAGGCATTTATCGTTACCTCATTGAGTGAGCCTAACTCCTTTCCAATGAACTGCAGGGGAACCTCTTGTTGTTGGCACCGGAGAGGTTCACTCATACCCTCCTCATGGGAAAGATGGCTAGATTTGGCAAAAGCAGCACTGAAGCATTTATCTGAACGGCTAGTTAGCTTGAAATCATGACAGGCAGAGACCTTTATGGGCACTTAAGGGTGAAGTTAGTAAGCCACATTGAATAGAAGTGAGTCATCACTGCAGTGATGCGGGGTTTCGTTAAAAGAAACATGTCTTAACAGTGGATCCTAAAGGCACTGAGAAAGATGCACGGATTTCATACATAACACCCATAGTGCCCAAAGCACATGCCAGGACTGGACTTGTACAGGTGTGCAGTAGGAGGAAGAAAGCAGGGTAAAAGAAGAATCAAATTAGAACTCAGGCAAATCAAATAAAATCCAAAATTATTCTCATACGCGATAAGTAGCTTATTCTCTCATTCTATGGGCATAGTTCAGACCTTCCAGTGTTTGAAAAAACCCCGAAACATATCCAAAGATATAAAGAACTGCATTTAGATCTAAAGCAAGAGAAAAATCCATATAACAAGAAATACCCGCAAGACCTATTTCCCGTGAAACTATTTAACATTTTCTGAGGTAAAGGCTAAAATACAAATAGCACTGCCTACTGGCAAAGATGAAGACAGACTTAAAATCTAAAAAGAAACCCTTTGAAGACTGGGGGCAAGGGGGAAGGGGGGAGGAAAAAAAAGAAAGAGATAGCCTTTCCATTGAAAAATCCCCCTAATCAAACCAAATCGCTATAATCCATCTTTCTGAATTATTTCTTCAAGGTCAAAACAGTCATTCGAACATTAAAAATATCACAGGTTAGTGAAACACAATTTTTAATACGTTCACTCCTGAAGAACTTTGCAAGTTATGCAAAGAACTTTACAAAAAAAAAAAGGACTGATCTTGCACTAGGGCATAACTGTCAATAGCAGAACTGATAAATAAGCCAAACCAATTTATAAACAGACCAAGGTAATTTTCAAACATAAAAACACCTGGTATATTTACTCTACAAGTACTTACAAACTTCCTTACAAAACAGTTTTGCTAGAAGAGGACTAGTTGACAGGAATGCATCCCTTGGTCTGCCACATTTGAATCCAGTTACAGTCTGAAGGAATTTAGCTTGTCTTCACAGCTATCCAAAAAAACCTGATTTCTTTTCTTAGAGGACGCTCAAGTCTGCCGTGCTGAGGCTGATCTGCCACGGCTGTGTCCCTTACCATGGTCCTGGGAGAAGAGCCCTAGAAACGCCCCAAATCCAGTCTGTTGGCACCGAGCGGGTTCAGGCTCCTGCATTTTGCACATCGAGCTCAGGACCTGCACATTCAGTGCAATGGTACCCAGTAGGGTAGCGATTCATTTGTATCCTCTTAAGATGGCTCTTAAAATGACAGACATGCCAAACCATCAAAACTACTATTTTTCTCCTTTCACAACAGAAGTATAATATACATAAGCATTTATTTTTTTTTTATGACAAGGAAATCTACACAATCTGCTCATTAAAATCTTTACTTCCACCTCTCCCATGGGTGAGAAAGTCATGTAGCTGCAGCTTAACGCAGCAAACATGAAAAAGATGCGATTCCACAAAACGCACAACTTTCCATTCCCACGCTAGCCACAGGACACAGAAATTACTACAATATCAGACTCTCTACTTCGGGAAGAGCAGGACAGGTGGAGGACTGCAACCGCAAACCACTGCCTTAGGCCCTTCCGTTATCAAATCATACAAGCTAAGCAATTGGAAACAAACGCCAAACATGGGAAAGCAGCAGGAAAAAAAAAAAAGACATAGCAAAATACAAGACATCCCCCAGGAAAGTGGCTATTCTCTGAACTCTTTCTAGAACTGCATTTCTCTCTGGCTAGAAAACAGCATAGTCAGCTAAACAAACACTAAATTACAAGGGAAAGCATGCAAGCCCACAGGCAGCAAAATTAAAGGTGGATGCAGTAAGACCCTTTAAAGTTGCTCTGTGCCAGAGGACTTTTGGAATGGAATGAAACCTGCTCTAATTGCCTTTCTTCAGCACCTCTTCTTGTGCCTTTGCACCCGTGAATGAAAAATGCATTGCAGCAGAGCTATATGCACAGACAAGTCTCTCTCCATTTCCTGGCTGTGTCGCTCCATTCACTAAACCGGACAATTCTGAATCTAATCTGAATAAATAATAATAAATAATGCAACCATCTGAAATAAGCCTCTAAATTGCAATTACACATAAATAGGTAGAACAATGATTTCAAACACCCCAGTAACCACAATGTGAATTTTTATTAGGTTTCCACTCTCCCCGTTAATCTTTTTCTAGCTGGTCATAATAAAGCGACTGATTGTGAGTGATAGCAAGAGTAGCAGACACCAACCAACTAGGATGGAATAGAGGATGCCCGGTCGATCGGAAGGAGGCTGGATGTTTCGGTCCTGATCTATGGCTTGTATGGGTGGAGTGACACTGATGGGATTCACGTGTGCCTGAAATAAAAAATCAGACAGATTTGAAACAGAAAAATTAGAGAGCCAATAGGCAGGTCTTTAGGTTTAACACAAAAACATCTCACTGAAAAGGGTATTTGCTGAAATTGCAGGAGAAAAAAGCCTCATATTTTAGAGAATACTTACAGCACATGTCCCTTTTGAAATCAAAAGTAAGTAGGCAACATATGGATTTCTACAGCGATCTCCTTTCTTTGAAATACATCTTATAGTATAATAGTATCTTCAAGAAAAGGAAGCTCACAAATATTCAAGCAAACGCGTGACCAAGCTTCTATAAATAGTCCCTTGAACCAGACATTTCAGATATCATCATAGCAGTGAAATACAGCAAATACTTTGAAAAAGGAAATAAAAACAAATTGAATTTGAGAATCATTAGGAGCTAGAGTGGCTGTGATACATGAATATATACTGCAAAAGAAACTCAAGCCAAGGTACAGACATTTCAAGGATACGTACATTTGAAGGGTTTGGATGGACATTGCAATAATTCCCACCATTACTCAGAGGTGGAGTGATCTCGCATGCCGAACACGGAAACAGAAAGCCAGGAAAAGCATTCACAGGCCTTCATCTTGTTCAGTATTCGTATGCCCGTCTCTTTACCTACCAACTTAATAGCATTCCTTTACCTACTAATAGCACTTAGCCCTCGCTGTTGCTTTGAATATTTTCTCAACTTTCCCTATGCAGATACAGTCTCCAGTGGTAACACCAGCGCTGCCGTTCCCAACTCTAAAAGAACAGTTTCAGTAACCTTGGCTGCTCAATCAGCTAGAAACGTAGCTACTCCCTGAATGTCTGTGCAACACTCTTCTCCATCTCCTTCTTGGAACTTTCACTTGCGTGGCAAAGATGTTTAATAACCTCTATGAAAAACCAGACACCTTTTTTCCCCACATACGACTAATCCTGGCAGCCTTTGCTTTGAAAGATCTAGCGTTCCGTCTTCTGCAAGAGGGAACTTGAGATTTAGCGTAGGAATAGGAATGAGACAAGTCCACACTTGGGCAAGTTTTGGCACAGCCTTTAGAAATCCTCCTGCTGAGATTTGGAAGAGATCTGCAAGAGCTTTAGTGATGCCTGTCAATAAACCTAGAGGGAAAAGAGGAGAGCCAGGAGGAGGAGACCAAGACAGGAATGGATGCATGACAGTTTACAAGAGGAGAGAGTTAATAACCCCTCCTGTAATTTTGGATATGTAGCCTTATGGTCATCTGCAAGAACACAAGCTATTCTGTCCACGGTTTGCCCACCCAGAAGTCATTTCCGACAGATTACTGAGGGCCATGAGCCAGGGCTCGTAGCCACCTGTAGCTGAGAGCCACAGCTCTTGGCTTTGGGTGCAGAGCATCTGCCTACCACCACGGGACTGGTACCTCCTCATGGCTTTTTCGATAGTTCTCAACGAGCAGGCGAGTCCCTTGTCACACGCCTCTTTCCACTTTCAACTCTTTAAAAAATTAAACTCTTAAAAGTGTAATGAGGAAGACGAGCTCAAAATAGGCATAGAGAGAAGAAGATATATTTGACATATGTTTGAATTTTTAAAATGCTCCAGGACTGCATAAAAGTTACATGCTAAGAGATAAGATTATGCATAAAACTGTCCAAGACTAAAATGCTATTTTTAAATTTACAGATCAATCAAAGCGCTCTCAGACAAATCCACATTACAGTTAAAAATATACCCACAACAAAACCAGTCTCGTTTGCTAAGGCTGGCTAGGTTTTAAGCTCACCATTACAATATTGCAGGCCAAACTGAAACAGCCGAGTCTATGCTAGAGTAACAGCGATGGATCTAGCCTTGTCAATAATGAGCTGTCAGCTATACCCGACTGCTGAAGCTAGACTAAAATAATAGTTGCTGGATATGTAACTCAGACAGCAAGGACACGTGCTTTACGTTCTAATTCAAGGAGACTCTCGAGAGCAGCATTTGGAATAACTGCATTTGAAACTAAACAAGTTCTACTTGAACAACAGATATTTTATCCCACGCTGCCACCATTACACTGACTCCTCAGAACCAAAGCAGTTAATTGAGTAGGAGCAAGTTGTATCCAAAAATGAAGTGTAAGAAAACTAAGAATGCAACACAAAATCCATCAATTTTTTATTCCATCTAAGTTGTTTTTCTTAGCACTGTACACATCCTGAAATGGGCTGCTCATAAACCAGAAGATATCATGCAATAAGATCGGTTGCAATCCACAGAAATGTTTAGGGATAATTTAAAGCTGTTTTGAATTAAATAGGCTGATGTGCCTTGAAGCAAAGCTAAAGGTACTTGCACGTTGTTTTAATAATCCATAGATAATGTAAGTATCTCTTTCGTTTAAACTTAAATTAGCACTATGAAAACATAACTGCACAAAGAAGCAGCCATTAAGTATGTTAATAAATTTGTAAAAGCACATGTAGGATCATTTCAGAAGGTGTAGGTATACTTTTTATGAGAAATAATTATTTTAAAAATTTGTAGTCAAAACACGCTTTGATCAATAGCAGTAATAACTATGATTATTACAGAGGGATATTTCTTTCTTTCTTGAGCACTTTAAAATGCAAAAGGCACAGACAGGTGCTCACAACATCCCCCGGGGCCCGCTGGCAGGGGGCTGCTCGGCAGCAAAGCTGTCAGGGCTCACGGGGCCTGAGGCAGTTCCCCGGAGCCCACCTCGCTGGGACGGGCCCCAGGCCTGCCCCCCACAACTGTTCCACATATCATGGCTAACAGTTGTTCCTAGAGACCAGCAGACCACAACAATACAATACCTACTGCCATCCTCACCAGGAGGTTCAGAGAAAAGATGAGGCTTTGCTCAGCAATTTGAGAGAGAGGACACAGTCACATACAGCTAGAAGGTGGCTCCTGACTTCAGAGGGGGAGGTAGAGTCTACTTACAGCCCCGTAGAGCGGGTAAACATTACAAAATGTTTAATATCTGTTCTGTTTAATATATTTATCGACGATCTGGACAAGGGGATCGAGAGCATCCTCAGTCACTTTGCAGCTGACCTCAAGTTGGGGGGCAGTGTTGA